TTAAAATATATCGATTTACAGCTTGACACGGGAAGACTACCGAAAATGTAGACTTGGATGTGAGATGTGGGAAATCGTGGGATTGGATTTAGTCAAGACAGGAAATGCTTGGTGGGAGAAAAGGAACAAAAACGCAATACGACGGTGCAGTGTGAACGAAAGCATCTATGGATCTAATGTACCTATTGTACTACGAGAACCTGCGATCGACTAAGTGGGTTCCTTGTACTATGTAAAGTACCCTTAGTACAAGCACAGGGGTTCCATATACTCTGTCTGCGAATAGAAATTACACTATAATCCAAGTACAGTACAATAGCCGAAAAGGCGCAGTACAGTATACATAAATTGAAGGTACAGTTTTAGGTACCAACCATTGCCGGTACGTTAATACTTAGGTAATTGTACCTGCCTTGCCCGCTTGCTTGCCCAGGTGCCTGGCCTGCTAAAGAGCAGGCGGGCAGGGCAGGCCGGGTAGGTACAGTACGCTAAAATGTTGGAACATTGAAGTCTTCTCTATGGGAAGGTACAACACAATTGTAACCCCGATATTCTATTTCGGGCCATCCGGCGCTTCAGGGTCACCTCCTTTACCAACTTACCTTATAAGATCCATAAAATCTTCTTTCCAGTGGCTATAAGCCTATTCGAATTGCTAACAAAACATCAAATTATGTAAGTTAACTCAGGACAGATCAGGATTATACCGAACGCTTTGACGAATTTTATATACCGTACTACCTGGTATATATCGTACCCGCTAACTAGCTTCATACCTTACACAGCAGTTCAAAGCTACGCCGGTGGAATCTTGCTAATTCGGTTCATGTCGTCCTTCGGGTTTCCCTCGTCAAACCTCAAACGAACTTATGTAAAAGTCAACCAGTTATCAGCTACAACTAGTGTCTAGTGTAACTAGGTGTCGTGCATACACCTACATAATACGCTATGGATCAATCAGTTGCTGCAATGCTGACATCCGCTGCTAGCCCTCCTCCCTCCTGGCGCAGGCGGCTTTACGCGTCAATGTTGCTTGCTTGCTTTAGCTGCTTAGGGTTGTCGATAAAGATAGTATCATAAGACTTAAGTCAACCACTGATCCTTAGGAATTGGGAATCCCTCAGTTTGAAGATCTCTTAAGGGCTTGGCGAACTGCCCCCAAATTGCTTGGCATAGACATCAGGCGCGCGGCCTGGCAACGAAAGAGACCCAGACTTCTATGGATTATATACCTCATCACATCTCTTATAAACGAAATGTTTCGCGTTATTTCCAGGCATCAACTTGGTATGTCCTTGACTTTCAAGAGCCGTGGGGGAGGAGGCGTAGAGACGCGTCATTGTCATTATATAATACCTCATGACAACCAGTCTGCCGTTAGGAATTTTTCACAGTTTGGTTATCAATCACAACCAATACAAAAGCTCGGTACGGCCAGCTATCCGTCGTCAATAAGGATGGGGGTTGTAAGAATCGGCATTAAACATTAGTCTTCGCTGACTCGATAATCGATCCTAGGAAGAAGCTTTGATATGCTTAGCCGTCCTAGTCACTGGCAAGTCTAATCAACCGGTCGATATGTCAGTGTGTAGATTCACTTTTTTTTTTTTTTTTTTTCATTTGCCCCTCTCTCACGAGATCCCAAAATCTTGAACCAACCCCACAATATGAAAACATTTGCGCGAAAATATTTACGGGTGCCGCCATTATCGACGTCTAGAACTCCAACAGCCTAGTGGACAAACCTATCCGTACAGTATAGCACACTTTTAATGCGATCCACCAACACACAGAAGTGTGACCCGTACGGCACGCTTCATCGCATGCACGTTTGATGAGCAGGGTTCCATCATTGCAACGCTCATGACCGCACACCATGAAGTCTTTAGCGATTTTAAAGACTAGATATAAGCTTGTCCGGACATGCAACTTGCCTTTCAAACTACACGTCCCTTTGGTCTGTCTACGGTTACCACAAGATTGGGCAGGCCACGCTATTCACGGTTGTCTATTGGCCGTACTGCTCACTACGGCATGTAATCTTCATCGCTAAGAGAGCTATCCGCCGTCGCTCGTTCTAGCAGGACATGGCATCCGATATGTCAGTATGTACGATACTTGATATGATAGCATCGCAACAAGACTTCAACGCGGGGCTGTCCCTTAATGCCTTGACGATCATCGATGCGACTTGACAAGGTTGATCTTGACTAGGTACAGTACACTCATCCTTCCTACTCCAGGTAACTGCAGGTAACGTGAAATACCGACCTGTTACTGGCTAAGGCTAGAATCTAGGAACCAATTCCAGGGCGAGCAACGGCACTGTGTGTGGAGTAGGGCGGAGTCAGCAAAAAGTCATGCAGCGTTTCTACTTCGTACAGCCAGTGAATGGGTAGCAAATTCGAGCTTGCGCTGTCGATCATTCACTATGAAGAGCACCACTAACCTACTTTTGTTCTCACTTGAGCCGTAATATTCATTTTATATTCCACTAGTATGAAAACTGTGGTACATCGGCTCATTCACATAAACGCCGAAATATAAAGTATATAGCACTAATTTTGCTAACTTGAACGGTTTTACTTTAGACCTTTGAATTCTTGCTTAGAAGGCGAAATTTTCTACCAACTTTACACTAGTTAATAACAAACACACCTATGGAATACTAGCCGCGAGGATATTCTTCAGACCTAAATCTACTCCGCGTTGCTTCTGTCAGTTATCGTCGCTGTGTTATTGCAAACAGCACGCGATTTCTTTTTCTTACCTGAAAAGCTTCGTAACTAGTCGATCAAATACGGAAAGGTGATAACGGGAATGCAGCCAACCAATCTAGTCACAGCTTTTCTACCAAATGTTTCATTTCACCAGCAAACAGTCCATCAGTAAAACATCGCGCCCCCCACACCACCAATTCACAAGAAGCTAGCCGGGAGATGCCAATATTGCCCTGTCGGCATTTGAGCGGTGCGCTGCCGAGAATGATGTCTTCCCGCTTCTCCTACATACATAGTAGAATGCATGGTGCCTCAGTCACAAAGTGCGATGTACCGTAGTCATTTTCCCGGGAGTTAAACTCAACTGAGGCATATACCCTCCTGGGTTTATCGTGCTACCTAGTCTACTTACTTACCGATTCAGGGTATTTAAACTATACGGTAGAGAAGCTATGCCAAAGTCCATTTTCCCGGTCATCGCATTTGCCTATGCTAGGTAGTGTTGTATATAGATGTGCTCCTCACCGCCTATCTAATAAACCCCTCTTTCGTCCAAGTATATTGAGTCTCGTAAGACACCAACTATCGATGCTTGCAAGCCAAGAGTTGTTGACAACTCTGTCTCTTCTTACATATAACATGGTATGATCTGAGGTTCCATGACACATAATTTCATGGAATTAATATATATTGCCGGAGGAGTCATTACCATCACGTAGCAGCGAGCAGCGTTTCCAACCCACGTGGATGTAAATGGTCGTTTCATCACGTAGAGTTTCTGAGAACTGATAGTTTTTCAAGAGGCAAACGATACCTACTCCCACCCAGTTCCTTCAAGTTTTCACATGCTTCTTCGAGACATGGTTACTATACATCTGCAATATAGATGCTCTTCTTAGAATCGCGAGAGCCTCAAACGAGCGGCCCAGCAACCATATCCTTACTCGGATAGGCAGGTGATTCTCCATAGCGTTCCTACGGATCCATCCAGTAAATAGCCTAGGTACGACGAACACGGAGTTGCGAGCGGGTGGCTTGCATCTGAATACTCCCCAACTCCGCGGTGTTGCTCCGCTCAAGTAGGCAGGTAACGCAAGGCCGGTGCAGCGAGCTTCATTCAACGTCCTTGTCGATGCGGGGATTAAGCCGCAACTTAAGATGACGTATATACGTCGACTATTGAACCAACTTGTTATAGCGCGAAAAAATCTAAATCTAAATCTATAGAGTTGACTCTTAAGATAGCCAACATATAATGCTTCTTTATTCAAATACCTTGATACAGTCTCAGAGTGACTCCCCAAACGATGATGCTGCAAACAGCCGTGTAGCATACCAGGTACTAGATGAAAGGAGTCTACCATTGATGCCACGTTGAATGGATATAGAGTTCTCAACTTGCACGCTGTAAGACTTGTCTATAGATCGTATCATGCAGATAAGACAATCAATAATATAACTCAAGATGTTCAAATCCACATTGCGCTTATATGTATCCTCTATCATATGCATTTCCCCTAGTAAGGAGCTAGTAAATTTTCCAAGTTGACCTCGGTATCCAACTGTATTACGGCAAATCAGAAAAGAATGGGTCTTCAAATACCTAATGTTTACTCTTATGCCCCTTAACAAGCCGACAGGTAGGGTAGGTATCCACAGCATTCCCTAAGTCATGACTAGGGAAAACAACAATAAATGGAAAAGACTATTAGATAAGGCATGTCGATGCCTCGAACAACTTTAACCTTACCTTTGGGTGTGAGGATGGGATAGCCAACACTAGTGAAGGGGTTGAGTTACCAATTCTAATAAGTATGAGTAGTATGATAGGTCATTATAGTAGCTGTCAACTTAAACGATTATTGTCCAAGTCAACGTAAGTGTCTGATATAGTCAGATAATAATTAAGACTTTAACGTCTACATCTCCAGATAACTTACAGAAGCCTAGATAAAATATGAAGAGTTAATGACAATTAATCCTCGAATTTATCATGCCTCTTTGTACGTTCTAAACTTCGGGTGCTTTCTCTCTCGTATTACCTTTGAGTTGCTATAAGTATTTTTCATTTGCCATCGTACAGCTGGAATAAAGCCAAGTATCGATCAAGAGATCGTCAAGTGCCAAAAGTTATAGATACCTAAGCATTAACTTATTATAGTAACCATACGAGTTTAGGTAAAAGGCCTTACGCGATGGCATTCTCCGAGACCCTTCTCAAAGGCCTAACCTACCTAGTGTAGGTACACTGGTAAGGTATTCGTGAAATATAAAGTCTAAAGTACGCTCTGACTTGGGAGGCCTATAAACTCAAAGAAAGATAACAAGACTTGACTGCTTGGATTTACCTCTGTTCTACTTTTAGAACTGGGTTTGATAAGCAACTCGATACTTGACATATTCTACTTTAATCCTAACGTATAGCGGAAGTTCACATTGAAATAATCAAAATAGATTATAGATGCTTACTATATAGCACATAACCCGCAACTATGAAAACAGATTAAAGATATTAGGATAGCTTCTATACGTCGAGCTTAATTACCCAGACATATCCGCATACCCAAACCTCCCAACGCCAGACTAGACAATGCCGTGCACTTATTCAAACAATTGATGGTGTAGTATGGTTTACACGTTACTTGTGGCGCTTAGGTAGATACCTCACCTGGGATGCGCAGTTGCCCTCGCTGCCCTTGAAGCTGTCCTTCGCCGGTACGAAGTCGCCGCTCTGCAAGCTGCCCTTCACGAAGTACACATACCACGCCTCGTGGAGGACGTTGTGGTGTCTACCTGTGCACTTGAGGATGACTCGACCGCCGCTGAAGGTCTCGAGCGTGGACTGTATCTTGGCTAGGGAGTAAGTCTTCTTGTAATTGGGCTCTATGCCAATGTCCGCCAAGGCCCGGTAAGTGTCTAGCATCTTGAATAAGCTAAAGGCGCGCACGAAGTAATCGACGACCTCGAGGCCCGGCGTGTAGCCTTCGCCGTAGCAGTTCGGAGCGAGGGTATTGATGCATGTAGCGTGCTTGTTGTATTCGTGAGCCCATAAGTGGTCATTCGTGCCGCTACATCGTCTGGTTAGCACATCAAGCCGTGTCATGGAGACCCTTAATTTTCTCCTCAGCAGAGCTCTGGAAGACATACTAGTTTGCAATCCAGTAGCGATTCATATCTGCAAGCAAGTCCGCTTGGTCATAGTGTTTTAGCACCGTGCTGATATTGTTAAACTGGGGTGCCATTCCACAGAACTGGTCGTATGATCCATCGCAGAGATCCGGCCTGAGGCAAGACAGCAGGCGTTAGCTAACTGCTACAAAAGCCGATTATTTAAAGGGGAATGTATATCAACCAACCATAGTCCATGTAAGGTCCAGTCTTCCTCGCTTCCACCGACGTGGGCCTTCTCGTCCCAGAACTGCGTGAGTAGCAGACGCCCGCCAGGATGGATGAAGCAGCAAGAATCGGTGGTAGACGTGTTATGACAGCTTACGGGTCCATTGATGGGACAAGTTGGCGTGCCGGTAAGAGGATCGTAGGGTGTGACGGAGTTGTCGATATCGATAAGAGCTTGCGAGCCAAGAATCCCGAGCGGATTTAGAAGGTTAGGGAGGTTAAGCGGAAATTGGGAGACGAAGTTATTTGCGTGAGCGAATATAGAGCGCAGAGATGTAGTAGATGGCGCCATGATTAGGGGAGCTCCTGATAGAGCTTTTGATGATGGGGATATAGGGTGAGAGAATAAAGAGATATCATTGGATTTATGTAGGTATGGATAAGATTGAAGCTTAAGGAAGCTCGAGAGGGTTTACGTAGGTAAAGTACCTAGGTACTTATCATCCTTATCACGATTAAGAGGTGTGGAGCTGTCTGACGTTGGTGGAGGGGTGAGACCACTTTAAAAGCGAACCAGAGCGTTTTTATTGGTCTATCTAAGCGTGTAAGCCACAGCCCTACAAGAAGACCCCTGATGCTAAGCGTCGTACCCTTGGATTTAATTCGAAGCTTCATGTCACGTTCTAAATGCTAAGTTCCTCATTCGGCAAGGTAAAACACTATTGGAACTTGTCATCGTCACGAGGGATAAGCAAGAGATCAAGAGATTTTGACTAACTCTATCTTTAGGTTCAGTGTTCAAGTAACAGTTGAACTTAAGGTAACGCAAACCAGATGCTATGAGGTAGTGTACAAACGAATTCTGCTGAGCCAAAGGATACCTTATCCTATAGGTCCGGGTATCATGCCGTAATCATATCGTCAACCTAAACGCCAATGACAGTCTACTAAAAACTGACGCAGTCAAACTACCTAAGACTATACTTAAAAGAAACAAGAGAGGAACCCAAATAATGGATTGTCACGTCAATGCATCAATATGCCTAGAATGCCTAGAAGTAAGGTAAATCAAACGGCTTCCCAATCCATTGCATCCACCATAAACTCCCAGTCTTTCTCCCCGATGGTATCGCTAGGAGTGTCCATGGGTTTGCCTTCGCGCTTAACAACATATTCGACGGTGAACTTGTGTGCACGATCGATCGCCGAAAGAATAGTCTGCACAATAAGCTCGAGGTTATAGGTTGAGAGCGGCGCGGGTGGAAGCGATGTTGAGTCTGCTTCGTCAATGTTCTTCCAGCGGTTGCGGAGATCTTTAGCATGCAAGAACTGCTTCCTGACTTCAGCAGCTCCAAATATGACACTGAGGGGGTTTTTCGAGTCCTCAAGCGCCCTAAGAACGTTTGCATGGTATTGATGCTGGCCGCCCCCTGAGCTGCCGTATAGCGTGAAAACACCGTTGATTATAGCGCCTTGATTCTTCACGACGATTCCAAATATGCCCATCAGGCGGACCAGGGCTCTCTCGATGAGCATGTAGAATTCATGGAAGTCTAACTTAAATTGAATCTCGTAACCTTCGACTTCAGACGGGGATTTGTCGGTATGATCTATAGCTATGCGATATCCCTCCTTAAGGAACGGCATTTTCCAATTGAGACGAGCGACAATCTTGAGGAATCGAGATAGCTCGTATTCAGGCGGGGGTGGGCCGTTGCATAAGTCATCTTGGGTAAGGAAGTTATCGGATTGCGAGGCCGATTTCGTCGAGAGGGTTGATAGTGATAGAGTCGAGGAAGTTCGCGCGGAGCGACGACGGCCACCGTGTGATTTGTTGATGCGATGATTGCTCGGGGTCGACGCCCAACGTGATGCTTCTAGTCCGCCAGGCATTGTGGATATCGTTTCGTTCGGTCGGCTATGAAGATGCGGCTATAGAATGGAAATGTTGAACTATCGAAACGGTGCATACTCAAAAAGCGTCACTTGGACTGGAAAAAAACGAATGTTGTATAAGGAGATCCGTTTCCTCCACTAAGAGGTAGATGAGGCTTTGGAGTCAACGTTCTACAAATGTTGGTGATTTAGAGGTCTGCGAAAAAGGGTCTATGGTAACTGAGGTTAAATTCTGTTAGTTAATCAATCCGACACTGGCCAGTTAACTTTCTTCGTGACGCGCCAGGGGATGAATTGGCAGGAGGAAAGCGCTAGGGTCGGGAAATTACTGGCGGTAGCACGCTGACATCATTAGTACCTGAATTACCTAGGTTACACTACCGGGTCTGCATGTGAATACACTTAGGTACCTACCTATGTACATTAGGTAATTAGGTATATTGATTGTTGCTACCTATCCTTTTTAATCATTGCAGCACTATCAAAAAGCTTAAAGGTACCTTTTGATCGGTATATATCGTCAGAGTAGAACAAAGTAAGGGATACCTATATATATGTTAGTTTTTCAACTTACCGAGCTTTCGGATAAGATACTCTTTGTGAGACTCCTTGCTTGCACCCACACATCCACAAGTCTACTGGGTCCGACTTACTGTTGACTATCTCTAGATCTTCTATCCGTCGAATTCTATATAGCACCCGAGTATCCATCCCAATCGGTCTAAATCAACTCTTCTATATTTTATTAATACTGCCACAATTTTTCCAGCCAATCAGATCCTTAAAATCGCCCCGCAATTGGCGACTTTTTCCTTTACCATCCTGTCGCATAAAGTCTAAAACACATGCAAATAGGATAGAAAGGTCATGCAAAACGCGCTCTATCCAACAATACCAATTATTAAAATTTTTATACAATATTATAGTAAGTCAATTAATTTTACAAAAAATTCATCGGACGTGCGCTAAGGTGTGGCTAGCCAATCAAAAAGGCCAGACTTATATGTGGCGTAAAAAGCACTCTTGAAGCTAGGTAGACACTCCCCGTAAGCGCCTGCGCGAACGGGTAACGCAGCTAGTATTTACTATGGATTCTCTCCAAGAAAACTGAGTCAAGCTCTGATAGATCTATCGGAGAGGCCCAATCTTTCTCTACATCATCACGTCATAGTGTACTCGCGAGTATGTAATCTCTCTTATTAACGGGACGGAAACTTCACTGTCGCTATGTTTAAATTATGGGGGTTTCACTCCCGGATATCGGCAACCCTCATGGATAGTATACTATGTACCCTGATAGAGGTACTCATGTATGACGGAATCGTGAGTCTTAAACTAGAGCAAGGTTAATATCATACTATCGTGTCTAGATTGGCCTCTTTTTAGGGTCTATATATTCACAGGCCGTCCTCATTCCCAGCTTTTCTCGATGGCGAAGTTCCTGAAGTATTTAACTTTGAGCCGTTGGCGGGGATTAAAGCACTCGACCATTCTGGAGGACTTAATGATATAGGTATTTATTCTATGAAAACACCAATTTCCACGTGTTAAGTTTTCGATTGTCTCCTGTGACAAGTACGATTCAATATTTCTTGCAATGTACTTCACTTCTGTCCTCGCTGGCCTTGGCGCCCTCGTTGCTACCACTACAGGAGGACCCCTTCCACGATCTGATCCTTATGTCGGTGATTTTAGGACATTTACTCAGACGGGTTGCTCGGCAGACAACCAAGGGGTAGGCACAGTAACTCAGTCGATGACTGGTACCTGTAATCGTTATGGCGACGCTTTTAGTTCTATGTACCTTTATATGGTTGCCGGATGGGTTTGTAAGTTGATCAGTTGATCAGTTGATCCTTCCTTTACTTAATCTGTATATCGCTGTTGCTAACAGATGTTACCTTATGTAGTCCGCGCACACAGCGATCCACTATGCAAAGATGAAGGAAATGTCATTTCAACGAGTCTTGCTGGAAGTCCCTTCGTTTGCAATAACCACACCAGCGCATGGGTCTCTTACCAAGTCGATCGTCTCTACCCTGCACCACCTGCCTAACAATTCTGCTAAAAAACCGAGGAACTTACGTGTACCAAGCAACTTATGAAACCTACCTATCTTAGGTAGGCACCTAAGGTACACATCAATCGATGAGGCTTAAGGTACCTACCGTTTATGGGAAATATAGTTTAACATGGAATATAGTTAAACATGGAATATAATATGAGGAATGTAATGGATTTCGTGGATTGAATGCAGGACATTCTTTATAACTAAGAGATTGGATATATTCCGCGCTTGCATTTACTATACAGGCCGCACAAGCCTATCTCTACCTTTAGGTAGGTAACTTTGCTACTGGAGTTTCCTCAAAGCATCATGTAGCTTTATTGGCTCTGCTGCGTCGTCGATGCGTTTAATCAAAACGCTCTATCCATTTCCTAATTTGTTCCTTATGGGACTTTCCTCAAAAGTGTTCAAGTGACCTTGCTGGTAAAGTGTAAATGGAATGTTAGACCTAGATAAGCTTTAGCCCTGGCCAATACTGGAACGATACCACAACATTTCTAGGAAAGCATAACACATAACACGGTTGACGAAGGAAGTAACTACACTATGGGAAAGCAAGAGAGGTGGGCCAAGTTTGGGAATTGACAGGTGCGCTAAGAGAAGACTCAACACATAAAATTCAAACGCTTCCTACACACTTCATCATCTTTACCCATATTATTCAGAGCCATGCGAACATCTCAGTTGCTATCATCTCTTAGGTTTTGCATCTATTCATAACAAACATGTCACATCTTCATATTCAAGTTCGCATTCGCTACCAGCATCATAACTACACAATATCTTAGACGTATCATCCTAATGCATCGTTAAGCGCCTATCTATCTACTTGCCCTTTCATCTATTCATTCACCACGACAAGCATCTTACACGACAATTTCTCGAGTACCCAAACATTTACACTATCAACATCGAATCCCAGTTTCGCTCAATGCGAATATAGCCTCGCAAAGCAGTAAGTACCTACTAGGTAGCCTAGGTAATTATACACGACCTTGCTCCCATCATACTGAGCTAATGAAGACCTCTTGATAGCCAACCAACTATAGCCACATGATCGAGGGTACCTAAGGTAGCACGCTCAGATACATGACAAATGGCCACGCATGTAATACAGCAGCGGTGCTCGGGTAGACGCCTTTGCCAGCGCTCTATGCGAAGCTACCTACCCGGACTGTGAGACCAGTTGAAACGGCGGCATCTTCTTTTCGCGGTTGTCGCCACTGCCAGTTGGTAGATTGAAGGGATTCAGACGAGCGCAGGGTGGCCATGTCCCGGGTGGACAGACCTTTTTTTTTTTTTTTTCCCGATGCGGTGGCTGTGGTCGCCTTCCCTTATTTGGTTTTGGTCCTGGTGGTTGTTGCTGCCTTGACCTTGTGTACGTGGTCAATCTGCCTTTAAGAATCGACTCATTTTTCTCATAGGATGGGTCGGGGACGTCTATGGGTTTTTAGACAGGGCTGGGGCCCCGTAGGCCTTGGCTTACAACCTCGTCAGATTCATAGGGGGGTTCAGGGAGGACTGTAAGGGAGCAAGGCTACGGGCCGCCACCACCATCACCACTGCCGCCGCCACCGCCACTACTTCCACCGTCACCACCACCATCACCGCTACAGCCACCACCGCTACAGCCGCTACAGCCACCACCGCCGTTATAGCCCCCGATACCACAACGACCGGCTTCCCTGGCTGCCTTAGTCTCTCTTCCCCGCCATTCCGGGGTATATCACGACGGCACTACTAGCCTTTGACAAAATTCCGGGAAGACCGGTTATAGTATTTTTAGGGAAGGTGATCCTAAGCGGTCTTGGCGGCTTGTTGTGCTGTATGTACGATTTTGGTCGCTGACTTTCCTTTACAGGTAATATTGGTGTACATTCTTATCGTTTTTATTTATATTGCTGGATACATCTTATCTTCGTGGTGGGTCTTGTTCGGCTACAGGCAATTGGTTGTGGCCTTGATCTGGGCCTGGGGTATTATTCAGCGCGAAGCGGCAACATTCGTGGCCTAAAAGGTGTTATATAATGTATGTTAGAATTTCATCCAAGTTTCTTGTTGTACACCAGCTAAGTTATCAAGGCTGAAGTGTCAAGCGATCTCTTTAAGAGAAGATACCTAGTGTAGCTTAGTAGATAGGTACATAAGAAGAAGCTTAGGTAGAGTGCAAGTGCTAAAAATGAACGCCACAACGAAGTTGAACGTTCTCACACTAAGAGCTGCTCAGTCGTAAAGTGCCAGAAATTATCCAAGTGCATGGCGGTGTATTTATTTGAGTTGAAGCTTAGGCTACAACAGTATATCCATTGAGGTCATTACCACTTAAACCAAGCATATCTTTTTGCCCTAGCCTTATTCTATTCTTTGATCCGTTTACTTTCTCCTGATAGATGTCCTAGTCGAACCAGACCGTCCAATCGCCTTATTATACAATTAGCGTCTTTATAACTTTGGTCGTTCTAGATTGCAGGGCTAGGTTACATACATCAGAGTGTACTCCCGAAGGGAGGATCCGGGGATATCAAGGGGTTCCTGCCGTGGGGAACTTGTCGTCAGGTGGATTTATGTGTATAGGAGTATTGCCGTATACAGGAACATAATAATATATGGGAATGTAATAGTGGATAGGAGGGCTACCGTTTGCAGGGTTATGATTTGTAGGAAGACCACCGTCCGCAGGAGTGCCGTCGTACGTAGGAGGGTTGTTGTTCACAGGAAGGTCATCATCGACAAGGAGGTCGTCTTCCACGGAAACATTGTCGTATGCGGGAGGATCAACAGGCACAGAAGAGTAACTGTCCCTCATAGCACGCTCAGCAAGCATAACGCGGACAGATGCCGGATAACGTCCGCATAGTATGTCCCGTCCGTCCTCGGTCAAAAGCATGAGGATAAAGCCGAGGACTACCAAAATAGACGTACCGATAAGGAAAATATATCCTATGGTTTTCCAAGGGATAAATGGTGGTGCTTGACTCATGATGCTGTTGGTGTCCTGCTATTGAAGGTAATGCTTGCGATGTGGCAATCTGGGTTAAGCTTTTAGTGGGAAAGATGGAGATATTTCGTCCTGTAATAATACCTAGGGAACAAGGCTTTATATAGGTATCTACACGTAAGGTATTAGGTGCGCTGAGACGAGAGACTTAACTTTATTCATTAGACTTTTGCCGCTATGATAACTCACTTATCTGGTTTCGACTTGCACTGGCCTGTCTTGGACTCGCGAAAAAAAGAATTTAGAGGAACTAAATAAGTCCTTCTACTTTTTTTTCTTTTTATTCTTCTTTTGTTGAAATATTAGTCATGTAGAAGGTATTTGTGCTAAAGTAATATGCATTGAATTTGTTAGAAATAGTGGTTGGGCGCAACGCTATACCAAGTCAGCAGACACGCTCGCTCCGCATACCCGATGCTGCATGTAAACAGTGGTAATGAATCGTGGCTGCCTATGCAGCATGGAAGTCTATAAAGTCTCCAAACAATATTCAGGAATGAATATCAAGGCTTGGAGGTACTTTAAGATATCTGTCAATCTGGACCGCGATACTTGAACTTACCTAATGCTCTCAATTTTCCAGGAACAAAATGTCCGTCTTAAATAAATACCACTATGAGCCCCTGTGTGCGGAAAATGCAATACGACTCATCATGCTGGACCCAGCTTCATACGAAGAAGCCCCCCTGAGTTGCTCAATTATCCAGCGTCGGCGTTTGGCACAGACAGAAGATTACTTCGCTGTTTTGTGCACCTTGGGAAAACCTGATTTCTCGCGGATTTTAGAGATAAAATGTGACGACGGTATCTCATATTTTGAAGATCACACCTAATGTTGACGCTTTACTACGACGTTTAAGGGCTATAAAGGTGCTACGTTGTTTATGGATCGATGCCATATGTCTCAATCAGGCCGACGATATCGAAAAAGCTCAACAGATCCAGGAGATGGGGCGTATTGCCGCTCTGCTCGGCCTCGTACAGGATGATCGCCGGTTCTACCTAGATTACACCGTTCATTGGACTGAACAATATAATCAAGTCTCTTCAACCATTCTTAGCCATGGTGACAACGACGCCAAACTCCAAGTAATGCTTCACTTATTTAAATTTGGATCCATCCCCCAACCAGAAGACACTACTTATCCATCATGGGTTCCTAACTGGTCGAAATCCAGAATACGGCGTCTTCCTTATCATTCACGAATAAGGAACCTTGGTACGTACGAGCCATATCCCATTTCCCCTGGACACTCTGGAAAAGCCGCTTTGACCTTCCACAACGATATCCTTCAAGTTCACTGGCATTCACTATTTGGCGGCCCACGGGGCAGACAAGTCATTTATACGGTAATGCCCAACAGGCCTCAATTAAATAAGACCCAAAAGACGGAACGAGTTAGGAGAGCTCTGCACAAGCTTTTCCCACCTTCTTCTAATCAGCTTCTGCGCGTCCTAGCAGTATCTTCGTTGCTTAAGATGGTAATAAACTTCCGCCATACAAATGAAGACCATGCTTGCAGTGAGACGGACCGAAGAGAAACCTTCACAGAATGCTGCCGGTGTTTCAACCGGGGAAATGTCGATTGATACGGGTAGAGTTGTCGGTTGGGCGGTGTGTATCTATTTGCAAGATAAATCGAGCTATGAATATGGCCTGTCCGTGAATGCAAAATGGGATGCAGGTTTGAATAGAGAGGAGCGGTGCACAATGCGACTAGTCTGAGGTTATTGATTGCTTTCTACTCTGAGCTGTCGCGTCGTTAGATATGAAACGAGAACATCTTCCGCCGTCCCGGACGGTTCCGTTTATGGAAATTACGGATATCCGATCCGATCCGACCCCGACCGAAAAGCGGAACCTCGGGACTTGGGGCACAAAGACATCCGGGCCAGTCGGGCTCGGAGACTACTGGAGACGAAAGAGTTTACGTTGCACGTAATATATTAAGAAACCCTTAGTATAGTAAGTTCGGCATGCCTCGCATGTTATTCATTGTACATCCGACAGATATATTCGACAATGAAACAAATATCTTTCATCTCGTCCAACCAGATCTTGGCTTTGTACATGGTAATAGACAAGGTCTAGCTCTAAGAACAATGCGAAATTGTTCTAAAAGGGGTATTTACTAAACCTCAACGTCCACACCCCTGTGATACGATAGCACCCTAATATCCGCTATTTGATCTATAATGAGACGAAATCGTTGATGAACTCCACGATATGTGCCGCCACAGCTTTAGGTTGACTATGAAACGGATAATGGCCGGTCTCATAATCTACCACCTTCCATTCCACGTTCGTCTTCTTAAGCCACTGGTTCTGGTCCGATAGATGTTTGCACCGGTCGTTCAGCGTCCGTAGGTACACTCTTCTTCCATCGAAGCCACTATCTGCCCACGCCGGTGCTGTGGGCTTCGTAGCAAGGGCTGGAGCCGCGTGGCCAGCTAGGTGCTTGTCTAGCTCGAATACCATGGCGGGATCACAGTCGTGGTATAGGTAGTGCATTGCTTCTTTTACAAACGCTGTATCCTGGATATAAGAGTCAGTACAGACCTATTATATCAGGCAGTTACTAGGACAGGTCATACCCCTTCCATTCGCACGTATGGTGGTAGGCCGCCCATCGCCTCAACCGAAGTTTCGCCATCCAGAGTGATTACACCCGCTATGAATATTAGTCCAACCACGCTGCCTTTTTTACCCTGCGCTTCTCGGGTCTGCTTGTCGAGGTCCTTGGCTGCAGCGCTAGAAGGGACACAGCCATATGAATGCGCAATGATGACGACGTCCTTTTGCTGTTCTTCTACTAGAGGTAGGATGACATTGTTGCGGAGAGAGGTAATATCATCTATGCAAGTCGCTTCAGCTGGGTTGGCATGGTTATAGCTAGGGTATGGCCCCGGATGGGTTGAGAATCCGGCTTCTTTCAGGAACGGCAGTAGCTTGTCGTAGCAGGCAGCTGTTCCAAATGCCCCCGGAACAAGGACTATCTCTGGTAGACTCTTAGCAGACATCTCGGTACTTGTTGTAGAAATTCTCAATGACAGAGCAATACGACCAAGGGTTGGAAGCTACGGAGACTCGACAGTATTTATTCTTATAACAGCGACCCCTCATCTCCTTAGAAGCACGGTAACGTTTATATTACCCGTGGTCAGAAACACAAGTGCGTAAAACGAGGTCAAAGAAGCCATTGATCTTTAACGAAGGCTTTGTGCGCATAGGTACCTAGGTAGTCACCGGGCTCCCATGATAGGCTATAGATCAGCGATAAAGCTACTCGGATGACACCCGCTCCTTTGTCTATCACCGAGGAATGGAATCGGGTTCGATATTAGGCGGGTATCAGCATTGGATAAGCGAGGTCTTTATGGGTAACATAGCTGTATCTCGCGTATCACACTCGCCATGCACAATGTCATAATTACCTAGGTAGGTATAAGCCGGGTGGCTTGACCGCTCAACGTGTTGACCGCTTTGCAGCAGCTTTTACTACCTAAATCACTTACTTAATCTGACAATACATATAATACATATTCCTAGATGCCTTAGGTACACACAGTTACCTAGGTACCCAGTACAGGCCATACAACCTCCTGAGCGTAGCTGTTTATAAATATAGAATGTTAATCTAAAAAGCCCTTGAGCTGACTTAGACGCAGTATTACAGGAGACTAAGCTATCAGAGGTGCTAAGAGCAGCAGTAGAAATCATACGTAAATCCAAATCCCATTAACTTGTATACATCCATCTATGAGAACTCGCTACCATCCTATGTGTGGTAAATGGTTTAGTTTGTATAGTACAGAACTGGTTTCCTCTAAGGGTGATAGATCAAGTACAAATGTACCATGGAAGACTCATGTAATCGTCAAATGAGCAGCGAGTAAGAGTCAATGTGATATATCACTTTATAGAATCCTTCAAGTGTATGCACGATACAGCTTCGATTCAGAAATGACTGGAGACAGGACGACGAGATACCAAAATATGAGAATTTATCCCGCTTATGCTAGACTTCAGTCGTATTTTAATGTTGTACGACCCTAATCTAAGCATTCATATCCAATGGAATTAAACGATACCGCCTTGTTTTTGCTCTAGTCAGATCAGACCTAATTCAAGGTCGGTGGCCCTCTTATACAACTGTATAGATTTTTATATATTTGTTCAATTTATTCCCGGGATTGGCCCTGAGGCATCTAGATAAGACACGCTGCATTGATGTATACCCCATAGTCCCAGCATTTAGGTTCGTGGGTCCCAATGTAACGGCATGGTGTTTTCTGACTACCAGCTCGCATCATGACAACTATAACGACACACCTACACACACACACACATATCCCACGGAATAGTTTCAGCTGTCTAGCCAAGACTTATTAATTCCTACCGAGGAATCCGTTACACCGCTCCGGTGAACACAGGAGTCGGATTCAATAACATGGTCTCCATGCTCTATGCTCTGCAATACCTAACACTGACCTGCGGTAACGTCAAAATAGGAGAGGAGGAATGCTGAAACCCCTTGATTGTAGATATCTATCTGCAGCCACATTACACGGAGCTTTTAACCCGGAGCTTTTAACCCGGAACACTAGTAAGCGCCCGCGGCACCGGCAATATGTAGCTAAACAATTAGGTGCGGCGGTGGCTTTTGACCGGGCGATGTCTCGTGCCTTGCCCTTATTAAGTCCCGCGTGAACCTTAGTCACCCCCAATACCAAAGAGGTAATTACTCAAGTATTTAGGGTAGTTTCGAGAATAGGGTTGAACTGTTGGGCATGTCGCGCAAGCATCTCAACATCAAGTTGGAGGAGAGAGATAGCTCGGATCTGCGGTAAGATCCGAAGAACAGGATTCTGATGTAATACTCGGTGGCGTCAACAATGCAACGGCTGGTTTGGGGGCGTACGGCATTTATATGTTTCATCGGAACGGAACCCCTATTGGGTCTCGAAAATTATGCCGAAATAGGGAATGTTCTAGAGATGCTCGTCGACGTGGGAGGACTCGGTTCTAATGTACCTTAGGTACCTACATCACATATCAAAGTCCCAAGGGTTTTTAGCGAGTGTAAGCGCTAGTAGTGATGATGAAATGTCCGCGAGGTCGTACAACTAACGCTATCCCCTCCGCCTCTAATACAGCAGCGGCATGTGGGATTCTGCGGCGTCAACAAGCTTTTCTGCTTCTCTGCGGCGTTGGCCAGACTCGGGTAAGCCCATGACACCGCAGTGCCGACTAGTAAGAGCGTTCGTCGAGGTCAGATAATCCTAATCCGGCTACGCTGAGGGCCTAAATAGGATCGCTCGAGTTGGCTTATACGTCGATGCTATTTCTCGAAGGAGAATAAAGATGAGGGTGTTGGTTGCACCCGCGCCGTCATGAATGACTCCGTGACTCCATCTGCCGAGCTCGGAGGGACTCCTAGGTATTATCGCGGACCAACGTGTCAGACAGGCTCATGTTTTTGTATAAGCGCGTACGAGAGCTGAGACCTACCCGAGGGTTACTGCCGACGATGACGAGATCATTTTCGATAACATTCCCGTAGGACGTACAGCTTTTAAGGTTGTGTTAGGCGCTTGGGCTACCGAGATACGTGGGACAGAAGATTTCTCGACATATCAATGGTCTTGCCTTGGCTCTGGTTAAGTTCATAGTTCTTTATGCTTTAATAAACCTGTACCCTCTCACGTATTACTTGAATCTTCATAGATTGCTTTCGTATAAGATTGTAGGAAGAAGATAGACTCTAATGGCATACAAACAGCTCGATACTGGTACTCACATTTTAACATCATTATAAATATATCGTACTCGTATATTCTTAGAAAGGCTTTGCATCAATATCCATAATTTATATACTTACCTTAGGTACCCAAGTACTCGAACACACCCTACGGAGTTAGAATCATGTTCAGCCCCTTTTACCAGAAGTCCGTGCACAACAATCCCCCTATTCAGCTCGAACCCTCAACTACACCTTCAAGTTCCCAAGACTACCCAATCTAAGGGCTTTAACCTACGTTAATCTACCTCTTAACTAGTACAAGCAGTTACTGTTCACGCGTTCCCGATTTCGAATCCTGCCATTAAAAATGGAATTGCTATAGCTAGTTCTGCAATACGTCGCAAAGTTCTATTGTGTGCTAACTGCTCGCGTAATCTGTCTTTGTTGCTTGTTTATCAGTGGTCTATACCTACGCGTCAATCATCATCATAAACGTATTCGTCCAATGTAAAAAAGGCAACGGAAATACAAGAAAAACCGCATAAACCAAATCGCGATGGTATCATCTTAAGGATAGGTAGTTAGTAGACCTAAACTCGACGAGCCCGTGATCGAACAGTCACGCGGGACTACATCACTTAATCTCTTATCATAGAAGACTCATGAACACGGTATGTAACGAGTTAAGAGGAACAGAGACTGCAAACGACGCAGCTCGTATCTTCATTTGTAAAGGTAACGTGTTGGACCGCCAAAATAATAAAATTGGGAACATAAAGGGCAGAGATCAAATCGCGAAAAAACAACCATCCTCACTCCACGTTGCAAACCGCACTCCGAGATTTCCAACCTAACTCTACCTTGCCAAAACCCGTCCTCAATGTATGAGAAAAGATTTCGCTGCATCACACCTCATCCCTTCATATACACGCAGCTATCGCGTTCTGTCTCCTCCAGGTCTTTTGAGCCGAAATCATCATAAGGCATTTCCATCGTTACGGGTGCGTA